GTCTCCACACACTCCTCCACTCAACAGGGACTTTAAAGCAGTATCCTCTCATATGTGTTTACATATGAAGTCCAGTCTTCCCCCACCCTGGACCAGTGAATACTGGTGTTAATTTTAAGAACACAAAGTATCATCAGAAAGTGAGATGGGCATTTAATTAAAAATGTAAGAATCACAACAATAAGCGACATTGTCATTAATCTCCCTCAAGTGATTCCCTTTCACTTCAAAAACACTTATCTCATTGGTTTTGCCACTTTCTGAAGTACTTCTAAAAGTCCTTAGTCATGGGTGCTTTTGTGTGGCCATCCTGAATCATGTAAAATATTTACAGCAATTTCTATCAAGTAGAATATAAGGGTGTGGCCCCATACACCTTATTCGTAGGGCCTGGCACTGTCAGAATTCTGACTCAGCACCAAAGTCAAAATGACCAAGAAAGGTAAGTGTTTTGAATCCATTCAGGACACTGAAGCAGCATGACAACGCAAATAAAATCATTCACTAAAGAGAACTCCAGAACTGCTTCAGAAAGAGGCGAGCATGGTAGGCTAGGTGTGCTTAAAGCAAGGCAGAGCGTTCTGCCGGGCCAATGTCAATGTGTCCTTTAGTGTTATAGCGCTTTTTAATTGCAACATCACCATACTTTTATCATACTTTATATAGTGACGATTCATATGATGCTATTTGAAGATAACTAAATCCCACACATACAAAAATTCTGTGACAAAGCAATTCACAGTTACGTGACATCTATTTTTGCTGTCAACAATTAGAATTTTTCATCTATTCTAAAAAGCTCTCAGCAATAATGAGGTCGGTTGTTGATGTCTCCTCCATAACACTGAGACCCAAAATCGTCGAAGGCTCAATTTTACACCATACACCCAAAACTTCTTCCAGTCAACTGATAGAAAACCACTCAGCTATGGGAAAATATTCTGCTATAACATAAAAGAGGGAAAGAAGAATGAAAAATATCCAACCTTGGAATAAGACTTTTTCAAGTAACAAGGAAATTAACTTGAAGGTGATAGGAATATGTTTAAGGGGGCACATTTTGTAATATCCTTATCATTAGTCAAAGACCTAATCTGTGCTGGGCAGTTGGTGGAAAGTTTTTATGCAATAAGTGATTAAATGGACTCCTATAACAACCTGGCACAGGAAAGCATTGTTCTCATGTTTATATGTAAACAAACTGAGGGCCCAGAAGGGTGAGCAGTTTGTCAAAGGTCCCTCACTGAGCAACTTGCAGAGATGAAAAAGCCTGGTGTATGTTACTGCAATGTTTCAGTGTTTCTTTTATGATACCTGCATTAATTAAAATATATTCTGTTTGGAGATGTTTAAACACAATTAAATAATAGCATTTAAAAAGCACTAGTTGATTTCTCTCATTTCCCTTAAAACAGCTCTCTCTCTCTCTTCTCTCTCTCTCTCTCTCTCTCTCTCTCTCTCTCTCTCTCTCTCTCTCTCTCTCTCTCTCTGTCTCTCTCCTCTTCCTCTCTTCTCTTCTCTCCTCTCCCTCTTGCCTTCCCCAAAAGGAAACAGAAACATTAGCTATTAGCTTAGTTTTTTACTGCTCAATTAATGGCTGTGGGATTTTACCTGAAGAAATCCTTAAGCCTGCCAGGCAGACACCATTGATCCAACTATAGTGTCATTATGTGCCTGTCCATATGCATGATGCTGGAGGGGAGGCTTTGTTCCTGGGAATCACAAAGCCATCATCCATCTGACACCCTGGGTTTTGGTGGGCCCGCACCTGCCGTGCTTCCCACAAATGTCTTCCATGGCCTGTGATTAGTTTTAATCACTCACAGGATGCTTCCTGCTAGGAAAGTTCTTGCCTACCAAGATCATCAGCACTACCTCAAAGGAGTCTCAGAAAATCGATTAGTCAGTTCAACTCAGCTCTTCTGATGAGAAATAATATATGAGGTTTCTGAGCTTTGTCCAAGGTCATTGAAACTATTGGTTCTTTTAGAGAAAGCAAAACCACTTCCAAAGGACATATGGAAATCAAGGTGCCAAACATAAATAAAGGGTTCTGTTAAGGAGGCCAAAAGTCACTTTGATTCAGAAAGTCCTCAACTCACAGATACTACTTAACATCAAAACAATAATATTAATAATGTACACATTCTCTCTTATTCAAAAAAGAGTTAATTAATAACTTTGTGACTTGAGCAAACAAATTAGGCTCTTTGAAAGTCAGTTTCCTCCTTTGTAAAGCAGGAGGAAAATGATCACATCACATTTTATGAATGAAATAAGAACATATATGCTTCTGGATTTTGGGAAAAACTGGCATTGGAGGGTCAAGAACCATCAGGGAGATCTTGTTTATTTGTTTTTTGGTGTTTTTTTCCCCCCTCCACTTTCTTTAAAGCATGGGCATTTTTTTCTTTTCGCTGCTCCTAAATTTATATGGCAGAACAAAGCCACTAATTATCCTAAATTGGTACCTTACCCCTGAAGTATGAGAGACAAATTCATTGGTCCAAATTCAAAATTCCAGGAAGCAGCTGGGATTGGCTCAGCTCATATTACATGCCTATATGTAAAGCAATCAACTTTCAGTTTATAGGTGCAATATTCTATCCCACTTGCCAAACTGTCCCTGTGTTATGCATATGGATTAGAAGAAGTGAGTGGCTTATAAAAGAAAGGGGGTTTGTTACAAGAAGAAAGAGTTTACAACAGAAGAAATCATTGGTGTCTACTACAAGAATGCATGAAAAATACCTGTCACTAATATCTCTTGTCCAGAATAGACATACTTCTGTATAGTTTTTTGGCAATGTGTAGATTTCTCCCCATTTTTAAATGCCATTTTTTATTTTAAAAAAAGCTAAACAGAAATGGTATTATCTGTTAGGTATAATCAATATAGATAGACCATTGTTAAGATTTGCAAGAGACCACAGGTGCTAAGAATGACAAATGTTTTAATCAAATTGCTCCTTGACTTAAGATGGGATTAAAATCATAATAAACCTATCAGTGAGTCAAAAATACACAGAGTACACTTAACCTGCTGCACGCCATAGCTTACCGAATGGTACACTGTGGTCTCTCTCATCATCCCCAGGATCACTGGGCTGACAGAAACTCTGGTTGTGTCTGCTACAGCCCAGAAGTGACAGCGTGGTACCTGCCAAGCACTAGCTCAGGTAAAGATTAGAGTCCAGATTCTAGGTTGAGTATCTAACAAACACAACCACCATCATGAAATTGACATGTAATAAGGCAAACCATCATAATCTGGGCTCACTCTGTACTTTTCCTTCACAAAAACACACAGTAGAAACTTAGTATGCTTGATGAGGAAGATTTGTTCGTTAGCTGCCCCTAAGAAACCTAACTCTTCTTACATTTTCAGCTTGTCCATTTGTTTTATTGGGTTTGGTTTTTCAGACATACTGGGGATTGAACTGTTTCTCCAGCCATTTCTCTTCTTTCTTTCTTAGGTTTGAGATACAGTCTCATGAAAACACTCAATTGTGTGGACAAGGCTCAAACCATAATCCTCCCGACTCAGCCTCCCATAGTGCTTGAATTACAGGAGCGTGGCACCACACCTAGCATCTATATTTAAATCAGTTTATTTATGGGTTCACCACTGAGTTCTTAGCATTAAAAATCGAAGGGACCACATAAAACAATTCAAACAATGCAAAATGCAATAAAATGTCTTCACATGATTAGCACTAAACAAATCACCAAACAGAAAACTAAAAAGCCCACTTTCTGTTTTTCTGTTTTCCCAAATACACACAGAAGAACCCTAGATAAGTTATCTCTGTTTCCTGCATAATCCAGAAACCTGCCTGAGAAGTCTACCTGTCCTTTAGAAGGAAACCTACAAACATTAATGTGTTCACTGCAAAGACCCACTTTCAGGGGGAAAATGTGAAGGAATCTCAGAAAACTAGAGGCTTCCTTATCCAAACGTTAATTATCACCCCAAAGAATTAACTTTTTACTTAAAGCAAAAGAAGTATTTTGCTTGGGCCAAACAGTAGGAATCCAACTGCTCTCTGCCAATAAATTGAGTGAGGGTCTCAGTCAGTATAGTTCAGGTTTTAGAAAGAGACCACATGGCATTGCTTTCCAAAATTTCTTCTACTGATTCAAAAATAATATTAAATAATTTTGGAAAGAATAACTTCCATACCTTTCAAATATGACAACAAGAGATGCGTGTGGTATCATGACAAAATTATGAAATTAAAAGTCTCATTTTTGCCCTAAATCTTTCTGCCCTGATACAATTCTTTATGGAGCAAAGAGATAAGATTTAGGAAGCAACAAATTCCCAGTAACAACAGTTCAAAAAGCAATCTAAAGGTAAGATTTAGGAGGCTAACTGGGGTAAAAATGTTGTCACTAATTAAATATTATCCCTTTTTGTTTCTTTTCAAATATGAAAAGAACTGCATGAAAGGAAGAGAATTACCAGAATGACAATATTGTCTCGTAATTCATATATTCTCTACGGTACCAAGCTGCTTCTAACAGGGCCACCTGCTTCCAAGCTAAATGGAACATACACTGATGAAGGACTCATGCCATTTTGAACTGCATTGTATAGATTCTGAACCAGGATTCTTTAAAAATGCTGTCAATTCATTCCTTAGTAATTAGGATACAAAAATATGCATATATGCATGGTACAGTTGATCAGTGCCAATTTTTTTGTAATAACTCATTTTCTTTCCTTCTGTTTTTGTTCCCTACATCTAGGGGGTGCAAAATTCTGAAGACAGTTGCTTTTTATGTGATTCGGTAGCAGGAGGGTGAAACTAGACCAAAATCTTCACCTTCCTCTTTCTTAAATTCTTTTCCTTTCCCCCTCTTCTAATTATATGGCTTTACACTGATTTATATGAATTTCAGCTTTCAAAATCATTGGTCTTTGCTGAATGCAAATAAGCACATGGGAAAATTACATTAAGTTTGCACAATTGATCTTTCATCATTTTAAATGGTACCTTTGAATAGTTCCTCAAATGTCTGTCTGAAACATTCCCAACGCTGGGTGTCATCAATAGATGGCGGGTCATCCTGGGGAAATCCATTCTCAGTGATGTAAATTACAGGGTTATTATACGTGTCCTAGAACAACAGAGCAGAAGTTTTATTCCAAACAGATGTTTTTAAAAATGCTCATAAAATCAGGTGCATTACCCTCTATCTTCTTGAAGCTACAACCCTAAAACTAGTTTTCATCAAATTGCACTGACCCTATTAACTTAATTTTCCACGCGCTGACCTTTTATGACTAACAGTGGAAAAGCAAAACTGTGTAAATGTCCATGAAGACAGTCAAATGACTCTTATTATAATGAGAAGACAGAAATATCTTTCTTCCCATCAGCATCTGCTCACAGTCACTTTTTCTTAACCCCTTGGTCCCACTGACAGCTACAGTTTCTGCCTCCTCCCCACAGGAAGGGTCCTGAAACTGGTTAGCTTGAAATTTTAATTTCAGCTACCTGAATGCCATGTAGCATAGCAGAGACCCAAAAAGGATCTCGCTATCTCTTGTCTTAAAATACCTTTTAGTAATCACAGTGGTGATACCGGCCTGACAAGTATATCCAAGCTACTCTTACTGCTACAACTGACTTTAAAGCAAATCCTAACTTTGACCACTGACTTTCAAGCAAATAACCAGCCAGTTAACCCTCACCAATTCAAATTCTAATCAGTTCTTCTCAAGCCAAAAACTAGATACGCTAGTATTTCAAATCATCCATTGTTCAGCTCCATATGTATACATACCCTCACCACCCTGCTACCTTCACACATACACACACACACAAATCATGCAATTACCTTAATATAGTTCAGCAGTTTACGTATTCCCCATGGCACCACGCGGACCCACCCTACCCCTTTCCAAGAAGGATCAGAGAAAAGCTCAATCTCTGCATCCTGAAGAATGCCAAGTTCTGCTTCCTTATTCTCCTTGTGCCTGATGAAGCGAGTCGTGTAATATTGCACAGCAAAGAAATCAGCAGTGCCTTTGATCATTTTCTTCTCTTCTTCTGTGAATTTGGAAAGCCTCGATGATGGATAGCCTTGCTTTTCACTCATGGAGGCAATCTGGGACTTGACAAGTTCAGGATAATCGCCATCAATGAATATAGGTTTAGCAAAGAAATCAAATTGAAAGTTGATCGCTCTTTCAGCAGCTTTCTGGTCCAGCACTGAGTTGGGATTTTCTGGTTGCGGCCAGATACAAAAAAGTGATAGGGACACCATACCCTTCTGCTTTTCCCGGAATAAGGAATCGTAACTGTGCCAGGCTCTGGCATGAGCCTTAATCATATTATGAGCCGCTTGGTAACCTCCGGTCCCAATTTGAGAAACACCAGGAGCAAAGAAACCCAGATCATATCCCATAGCACAAAGAACATTGGGCTCATTTATGGTGATCCACTGCCGGACTCGATTCCCAAAGGTGCTGAAGCAAAACTGGGCATATTTGTCAAAGACTTCAATGATTGCCTCTGACAACCATCCACCTTGGTCTTCTAAAGCCTGAGGCAAATCAAAGTGGTAGAGTGTCACCACAGGTGTAACCCCATTTGTTAACAAATCATCAATGATCTTGTTGTAATAGTCAACTCCTAAGAGAGAAAAAACACAAGCAAAAAGTTACTTTAATAAGTTGGAAGTATTTTGATCAGGATAACTCTAGCTGAAAGGAAATGTCAAGAATTCCCTGACTACAAGCATGGTGGCATACACTTGTAAATCCCAGAGTTCAGGAGACTGAGGCACAAAGATCACCTCACGTTCAAAGCCAGTCTTGACTAAGTGGTGAGTTAAGGTCAGCCTGAACTTCACAGTGAGACCCTGAGCCGTATAGCAATAGCAAGACCCTATCTCAAAAAAAAAAAAAAAAAAAAAAAATTTCCTTGATTGGTTGATCAGGGATAATTGTTTGAAAACAGATACATTTGGACAAGTTGCTGTCACTAAATGTTGAGCTATTTTCCCACTTATTGAAATTGTTTTATTTAGTTACTTATGTGATCATTTTTGTCTCTTAATCCCACGGGACTATAAGCCCCAGGAGAGCAAGAGTTTTAACTATCTAGTTTACCTTGAGATTCCCAAATCTTGGAACATTATCAAGAATTTAGTATACAATAAAGACTTTGTTGAATGAATGAATGAATGAATGAAACTATGTAATTTATCAACTAGTAATTTCTTAGTGTTTATTTTTTTTGAAATTCTGTATTTTTTCTATGCTTTTTTTGTTTTGCTTTCTTTTTTCTCCTTAAACAAAATTTTTTTTAAAAAAGAATATGAAGGCAACTGGAGCTTGGAAGGGAGAAACTGTTCTTTATAAAGAAGTAATTTCTTGGATAGACACAAAATCATAGTAGAATTATATTGTGTGGAAAGTTTACCTATGAGAAAGATGCCTGTCATGTTTTTTTCTCTAGATTTTGCTCCTCCAATTTAAAAAAAAATAGTAATTCAGACTTTTGTATTCTTTCATGTGTCTAATTACTCATTTGTTCATTACCTAACCACACATTGATATAGAAATTGCCATACATCATAAACAGGGAGCTTAACAAGAGAAATTACAGAAAAATTTATAGACAAGCACAACATGGTCCAATATAAACTACAGAGCACTGTTCAACCCAACCTAATCTTGGTTTTTAAAAGTGAACTATGCACCAAGATACCCAATTTTTGTCCCAACTTCTGCACTTTGAGCAGGTTACTTGATCTTCCTAAATAATCTTTCCACTCTGCAAAATGTGGATAATAGAAGTCTACATTTATAAATTGTGAGTTTAATGAGTTGATAAATTGAACATATTTACAACCATTCTTAGCTTATGGTAAGACCTTAGCAGAGGTCAAATATAATTCTAGTAATAATTATTATTGTTATCTTATTGTCATTAGCAACATCTAAGCTGATTCTTAAAAAATGGGTATGAATTACCTATATAAGCCAAGAAAGAGTGATTATCTACATAAGCCATAAGAAAAGAGTGATTCAGTAAGCTCAAGAGGGGACAGAAATGTGCAAAAGACCAAAGAGCATATAAAAATAAAAAACTCAAATGAGAAAAATGGCTTATGTTTTTATTTGGCTTATTTTAGCAGGTTTATTTGGTTTATTTTAGTCAACCACCTGCAAATGTCAACTTCACTTGACAGATATTCGATGGCAATCAAGGAAGAAAAAAGTTTATAGGGAAAAATAGGGGTGGACTTCAGGTCAGGCATGCTCCAACTGGAGGTCATTAGGACAGGGCAGCTGGACAATGCCCAGTTAGAGGTAGATCATACCATATCACTGGTTGGGGCATGTACTGCATTTGGTTTTCTCTGGCTGGTACTGAGTTTGAAGTAAGGGTATAGCAAAGGCAACAAGAAAACCAAAGATATGCCAATTGTTGACCAAATGCAAACTATGAAGGGCTGACTGCTGCAGAGGTTGTGGCTTGGACACCTGACTTCTTAGGTGGGTCAGAATCTTCCTTTCATATGTTACCTGGACTTGGTTTGCATCTTCATTCTCTTGGAAGAGTAAAGTTCCTTCTGGGAACTGTGAGAGAAGCTCATCAGAAGCGTGAGACTAGGCAGAGGAAATAGGGGTAAACAGAAACCAAACTGCACAGTCATATGCTGGCTGTCTGTCTATCTGTCTGTCTAAGTGAGTGTTCTTAACAACAGTTCTTTTGCAAATTGGAACACAATGTGAATCATCCATAGCGACTTTACATTTGGGAGACACTTTCATATGCTATTCTAACTTTGTAAGCAAAATAACTCATTCTGCTTTCATAGACACCCATACCCTAATCCATGGAATGGTCGAATATGTTAAACAAAAAGAAACTTTACAGATGTGATTAAATGAAGACTTTGAAATTTGAAGATTTTCCAAGATTGTTCAGATGGACCCAAAATAACCACACATGTCCTTATCAGTAGAAGAATATCCCAGAAAAGTAGATTAGAAAGATTCTACAGTGAGTGTTGGAGTGGAGAAGATTTCAACTTGAAAGGGACTTAACTCATAAGCCCAGGAATGCAGGTGGCTTCTATAAGTTGAACATGGTCTCCTGCTGATAGCCAACGAAGAAATGAGGACCTTAGTCCTATGAACAAAGGTACTGGAGTCTCCCAACCACTAACCACCTGAACCAAGAAACACACCCTGCCCTCTATGCTTCAGAAAGAAACAAAGCCTTACTGGCACCTTGATTTCATACTTGGAGAGACTTGTATGAAAATTCTAACCAACAGAACTTTGAGAGCACAAATTGTGTGGTTTTTGTTACGGTTGTTGTTTTGATTTGGTTTGGTTTTGGTTTTTTGAGACAGGATAGTCCAGGCTGACCTTGAACTCACTATGTAGGCCAGGTGGCCTTGAACTTGGGGCCTATCTCAGACTCTCAAGCACTGGGATTACAGATATACACCACCACACTCAACTTCTGTGTGTATTTAAGCACATAGGCTTGGGATAAATTGCTTTCAAAAACAAAGGGAAATTGACATACTCACCAACATTTATGAAACTTTACTTTTCTGCTGGGGATGTAACTCAGTGGCATAAGCACCTGCCTGGCAAGAATAGGATCATGAGTTCAATCCCTAGTACAAAAAAAAAAAAAAACCACATTTCCTTTTCTCTTTCAATGAAAGAATTTTCTACTAATCCATCTCTTGGTCCTGCTAAACCACAGTTCTTCATTTATGAATGAAATTTCAAAAAAAATTATGTGATGGCAAAAGTTTGGTATTGGGACATGTGAGAATTTTTCTCACTAACTCTTTTCATTGGTTTTGAATAAAAAAATAACATTGTATTTCTTTTGCTGAATTCATATTATATGTACCAGATTCTGGGAATTTTGCTTAATCCTAGTAGTAAGCCCAAGAGATGGACATTTTCACTTGTGTTAAATAACTGAGGAAACTGATATTCAGAATTTTACTATTGTCAAATAGCACAGACTGCTTTTAATGCCAATCTGTTTCACTGAAAAGACCACACTGGTCCTATGTGAACACTATGTTTCTTATATTAATGAATGCTCTTGATCCAGAAAGGTGTGGCTCTGTTTCACCAGCCTTAACATTTACCTACTTCAGACCAGATCACGATAGCAGATTCTTTTTATTTTCCATTTTGAAGGAATTATTAATGATGTACGATCAATGTAAGTCAAACAACATAGTAATCAGAGTTGAGCTGAAGATAAGTAAATGGTAAGTCACAGAGAATTGTATAAATAATAGCTAATATTCCAGAACCACGCACTTCACTGCTGGTTTATACAGTTTATCCAGTACTGTAAGGAAACTTCTCCATCAGGTAGGAGACTGGGATTCTTAACAGCAGAACAGCACATTCATACACTCAGTCAAAGGCTCAAGGACAAATCACTTGACTTGAACACCTATGTTTCCTCACCTTTAAAAAAGGAATGTTTATAGTGCCACCTCATGACTGTCACAAGTATCGAATGAACACAGCCAAAGGGCATTTAGTTTTATTTATCAGACTGATAGAATTCAGTAATAACATATTCTCTGACTAAATGTGTGTTTTTAAATGATCATTGATCAACAATATATGGATGTATATGTATATGTATACATATATATACATTTATATATAGGAATATATGTATATGTATATACATCCCTATATACCTAAGTCCTCAAGAGGTTGAGGCAGAAGGATAATGAATTCCAGTCCAGACTGGGGAAGACAGCAAAGCTGTCTCAACACACACACACACACACACACACACACACACACACACACACTTAAAAATACTATAACTTCTTTCATGGCCAATATTATATTCTCTGGTTGAAGCTCACTTATACAGATGTACAGATATGAAGTATATTTGAGTCTTTAAATGTAAGAAAAATAAAACAACTTGGACTAATTCAAATATAAAGTAGAATTGGGGGCAGTTGGGTGGTAGGTATGAGGAAATGTGGGCATTATTTGAGATGACAGGAAGACATCAGCCACTCAATGACAAAAACAAAATAAAATAACTGCAACTAGAACTCAAGGGAATTGAAATTGTTAGCTGAGAAAACTTTTGTTTTACAGGAGAAATGATCTCTTCTATCCCCGTTTGTTATGGTTTGTACCTGGATGTCCCCCTAAAGTCTTATGCAGTCATAGGGGTCAGGTTTTTCGGAGACAGCAGAATCTAGAGTTTGTGATTAGTTCCTTGTCTAGTACTGGTATGAGTGGTACTGGTATGAGATGGGGTATGAGTATTTCAGCTGCCAGAGGGTGGGCAGGCTGTATACAATATAAGAGAGGGAAAGAGGCTTGTTCCTCCTCCATCTTTTTGCTCTTGTCACTTTTGCTGTCTTCTGCCATCTTGAAAAAGTTACCCTCAGCCAAGCCACTCCGGCTTAAAGCTAGCTGAGTATAGACTGAAACCTCCACAGACTGAGAGCTAAATAAATTTTTCTCCCTTAATTTGGGACATTGGTTATTTTGTCTCACAATGAGATAAAAGTAACCAAGACACTGCTTCTCTCAACATATCAGCTACATTACCTTCCTTCTTTCAGAATCAATTCCCTGTGTGCCCAGTCTACCATCATATCAAAATAGCCATCCTCTCTGCCAAAGCTACCTCAGAACCCTGGTGCTATCCACAAATAAACTCAGCCTCCAAACATTCTTGAGGAAGAAAACAACTGGGCAAGCTCATCTTTTCAATGAGATCACACAAGTTACATACTGCAGGCAGCAAGGCTTTCCTTTGTCCCGTCATTTGTAGCAGGCATGGAGCAAGATTATATATAACAAAGAAATAGGGAAGATACATGAAAATTCTCTTTAGTTCATACATCTCTAAATTTGTACAATGAAATTGATTATCCTTTGTCATGTGGCCATAGTTAAGTACTGCTGCTATAACAAATTATTACAAACTCAGAGATCAAACGCAACACACATGTATTATCTTAAATCTCTGGGGTCCAAAATGCAAATGGTTCTTAGTGTGCTAAAATCCAGATATTGTCAGTTGCAGGGCTGCATTTCTTTAGAAGGCTGTCAATTTCCTTGTTTTCCAGGTAACAGAGCCCTCCTCCATGGCTTCTCTCATGGGCCTTTCTTCCATTTCCTCTCACACCTCTCACACCTCTATTTCAGACTTCATCTATTTCAGAAAGACCTTTCTGAGTCTGATCTGCCTGCAGCTCTCTTATAAGGACCCATGTGATTACCAGGCAACCCACAGGTAATCTGGAATTATCTCTACATCTCCATATCCTTAATTTAATCGCATATGTAAAATTCCCCTTGCCAGGTAATTAATATATTCATAATTTCTAGTATTCAAGAAGAAAACATGTTTGGGTGGATGAGAAGCATAATTCAGGTTATCATGATGTTCAACATAAAATACCAGGTTAATGTGTATTGAATTAACTTACTTAGACCACTCCTGCTAAAGTACTGGGTTTTTTTTTTTTTTTAGTACTTTTATATTTTAAATCTTAAAGAGAACAAGAAATTCTGCGTAAATATTAGGGGGTTTTTTTTGTCTTTCCAATACTTGCATTTTATACTAATCACCTCAAACTTACATTTGTGACACATATGAAAATATACTTGGACAGCTGACAAATACAGAAATGTGTGAGTTCAGTTGCTAACTCAATCTCTTCTTGTTAAACCATGAAAACTTGACATTTGAAAGAGAAAGGCTATGTTACATTTCTACTTTGTAAAATATCCCTCCAGTTTGGGGACATAGAATTTTGCAAATTTCCAAATCTGCCATAATCAAGCTTTAAAGTGAGTGTTCAAACACAAAAAAGTGAGTTCTTTGGAAAGGACAATGACAGGGATTTTCTAACTCTTTACATGCTCTTCGAGAAAATATTTCAATAGAAAAAAATGATGGCCTTTCTGAGTTAAAACAGTTCCAATCTCTTCAACAGATCACTGCACAAGAATGAGCAACTGCTTATTGAAATTCTGTCTCCTGGAAGCACCTCCAGTGCCCTCTTGTTCAGAGAAAGTCTGTCGTATTAATCAGCTATGGTTTTACAAAAGCCAGGGACAAGCACAAAAGCTCAGTGTTGCAGACAGGTGATCGCCATGTGAGCTCAGTATAAACGATTTCCCTGCGTTGTCCAAGGCACTCCAAGGACGCCAGTGCCACCACCTCATTGCTCAGGTCTTTCTGCTCCCTGCTCTTGGATTGCTGACCTATAGTGTGTCCCCATGAACTCCTGTAGATCTTAAATTAACTTTAAAAGTTCGATGGGTTGACTTCTTGCTACAGGTCCATAAGCCTTTCTCTAAAAACCTTAGAGACCAATGCGTTCAGAAATATGGGGTTTTTAGAAGAAAACTCAGAACACATATCCATATGTCAATACCCCCTGAGGGTCTAGATTTCAGCACATCCTAACATATCTGTGGCAAAATACATAAACAGCCTCATCAAATAGAATCAACCAACATTACAAAAAAATGTTTTTTTATGCAGGTTCAGGTCAGATTATGCTGCCAAAGTAGTTTTAGAAAAATTTCTTAAGAGTCTTTTGTATTTTAGAATTCCAGAAAAGGGATTGTGAAATTACAAGTTGGTTGGTATTTTATTATTTTAATTATTATTATTACTTCTTGTTGTTATGGAATCTCGTCCAAGTGAGATCTCAGGAAAAATTCCAAACTCCTAGAGTAGGTGGAGTTCTACTGACATGGAGCCTCTGCCTCACATTTCCAATCGGGAAGCCCAGCACAGAGAATTCAACTGGCTCAACGAGGTTATTAAAGTGCTCCAACCTAGATAGAAGGCTTCTGATGTCAGGCAGACCGGGATTGAGTCCGGTCCTAACTAAATTTGTCATTTAGCAAATATGTTTGTATATTTGGCAAAGTGAGCTACACATAGAATGTACTCAATAAACAGCAACCATCGCTATCATCAGAGTAATTTTATGATTGTTATTGATCTAATTGAATTGGATGCAATAACTGTTCACTGAATCTTGCCCTGAAAGATACTGAACCAGGTCACAATGGTGAGCAAAGTAGAATTATCCAGCCACTCCACCGTTAGAAACCCACGGGATTCTCTTATATCTATATTGTGAGTACTTAGCAGAGTCCTTGATGCATGGTAGTATACAGTATGCTTAGTTGCATGTAGAAACTGCACACAAAGGAAAATCACAGCTACAAAACTTCACCTTGGATTTGATGGTGTCAAGGAGAAGGAAGGAATAGATATTGATTAAGAAGGTGGAGAGTTACGAGCCAGTTTTAAACTGAGCAAGAAATTAATTCCTCATCTGAATCAAAAATGAACCAAGAATGTCAAGAAAATAGGCACGTTGTCAACAGCAAGGAGTCAAAGGCTGCTCCTTCAGAATCAAGGGTCAGTGCTTCAGGAGGTCCCAGGAACTATGTTCCATTCCAAGAAGAGAAGTCCCTCATTTTTTGTGAAATGAACGTTGCACATGGATGGGCCCCATAGAACTGTCAGGGTGGAGGTTTCTATGTAGGGAATTACAACTTAACCATAAAGAGCTCCTTGGTAACAGTGAAGGCCCTTCAGTGTGGGAAGTACTGGGAAGTATGGAGAGGTAAGTACCCTTCCTCTCAGGTCACACAGGTACTCTCCTGCATCTAAAGGACACTAAAATTTGTACTGGAGACACCTCCCTTTCCTCACCTAGTCCTGCCCCTACAAGTAATATGAAATCTCTTCCAGAAAAAAGTACAAATAAAAGCTCATTATTAAGAAGCCATATGTTGCAGTACATAGATTGGCAAACTTTTCCTGTAAAGGACCAGATAGCAAATATTTTAGGCTATATAGGCCATATGGTCTCTGCTCCAACTACTCAATTCTGCTATGATAGTGGGAAAGCAACAACAGACCACATGTAATGAATGGGCATGGCTGTGTTCCAATAAAACTTTATTTACAAAGGCAGGTGGCAGGCCAGATTTGGCCCTCAGGTCATTGTTTTCCAACCCAGTTACGTGGAAACTAGCCAGATCTTAGATGTGGATTCCAAATCTACCATTTCCAAATACATGGATTTAGACATACACCCTTGTAAAACATGATCATCATACTTTACTTATTTGGTGTGAAGATTACAGTAAATGTGTGCAAAAGTGCCTAATAAATAACAGGCACTCAATAGGGCAGTGGATGGTCCCTTTAATTACAAAGCATAATAAGAATAACAGCTAACGTTTACTGAGGCTTTATGGTATTCAGGGACAGTATAAAGCATGTGATAAAGATTATTTCACTTAATCTTCCAACAACTCTCTGAAGTATGAACTATTATAGCATATCTTCCTACTCATGGGAAAACTAGACCAAGAGATACTTACACAAGTATTAAGTGGTATAGCTGGTATTTCATCTCAAGTAAGCTCCAGGCTGTGATACTAACTAATGTTTACTGTGGTGCCACTAATTCTGGCCCAGTAGAACTACTTGGAACCACCTCAATTTCTTAAGGATTTTTCATAACTCATCCCGGGTTATACCACAAAAAAATAGAAATAGATCCCTACAACACCTTTTCGAAATTCATTTGCAGGTTAACATTCCAATAACATCTTGCATTTAAAAAGCCCGTATTCCAGCTCCCTCCCCCGTACACCCTCCCCAGAAGACCTCAGTAGTTATGGAAAGCTAAAATATTTTTGAGAAAGATAATGTAAACCCATTTCAAAAATTTCATCCTATAATCACTCTGAAAACGTGCAATTTCAAAGCTGTACGACAGACTAGCACACTGGATTAATTATGCCAGACTGCAGCAATAACCTTGAATTAAAGCTGCAACCTTCTATTTTTAAGAAACACTTGCCTTTCTGGTTGATGAAACCTGTCGTCCCATCAGGTAACAGACGTGACCAGGAAATAGAAAAGCGGTAATGAGTCAATCCAAGCTGTTTGATACATTTCAAATCTTCCTCCCACAGAGTATAGCTGCCACAAGCTACATCACCAGTCTGGTTCTTGAAAACTCTCTCTCCTCCCTGATGGGTGAATGTGTCCCAGACACAAGGGCCTCTTCCATCTGCATCCCAGCCTCCTGAGAAAAGGAGAAAATGAAATGGTTACCCTCTTGACATCAAGAGGCATATGTGGAATGTAAATATTTGTCACAAAAAGAACATACCTCATTAACTCAATGTACCATATTTATAACTTTGAGGTATGCCTTTAAAATAACACGCATGAGTGGACTATGTGTTTAGCTGTCCTTGATCCCTGAAGCTCACTGGTGGCAAATGAAAAATTATCGCACAGCACCGCTGCATAGCAGGTTTTCATGGTTCATTATCTGAAGATCTTCAGCCGGTAAACAGAGGCAGGCCCCAGCTTATTACTATCTGAGTCAAAAACAACACCCTCTTAGAAATATCCCCACTGCCCATGTCTGATGCCTCTTGTCCTCCAGTATCATGAAGATTTGGGGCTTTTTCCCCAGCTCCCTGTGCTTGAACCTTATTCTCCTGTGATCTCACAGTAGAGCCTGTATGGGCTCACCCAACTTTGTGTAGTAGTTTCCAGTTTTGATTGGTAATAGTATTCAAAATGTATTCACTCAAACCTCTGCTAATTGAGCAAATGTTTTTTGTCAAGTGCTACCCAGCAAAAGAACTCTCTAAACTACACTATGTCTCATACTCCTTGGGAATTTAACCTAATAGGCAACCACAAAAGAGCCAAGAAAGACCCTTGCCCTTATAGAAACCAGGGAAGGGCATTTTTTAAACCATGATTTAGAGTCAGGGAAGGTGGCTTCCTCCTTAATGTTTCTATAAACCTAAAACTGAAATAAAATATAGTCATTTATTTTTTAAAATATATATATAGTATATCATGTTTTATATTTTCAGGAATATACGAATCCATTTATTTTCTAAACACATATAAATGAAGTTAAGGTACAGCAACAAGCCTAGGAATGATAAATCCTAACTAAGCCATTACCTTTGGGGAAAATGTAGGGAAATGGAAATGGTAGGGTTATAAGAGGCCTTCGGATCTGTATAACTTGTACCCTTTCTCTGCTTTTTTTTTTCTCCTTAAATAAAATTTAAAAATAAAAAAATAAGAAAAAAAGAGGGCTTCGGGTCCATCTCTTATATTTTATTCCTTAAATCTGGGAGATTGTAAACAAAGGTTACTTTATTACATTATAAACAAACCCTTTTTGTAAACCTAAAATATTTTATTAGGTTTGCTATATAAGAACAGATTTCAACAAAGGTCCGGAACTTTTAGGCACTCCTGAGCTCCTACTTTGTGCAAGATCAGATATTGTCTCTAGCTCTAAAGAAGGGAAGAATGGGCAACAAGTTGTTTCAGGGGGAGACAAGAACCTACTGCTAAGAGAGTTCCAACAAAAGCAAAAATGTCCTTCAGTATTAAGGTAGGACACTAAATAGCTGTACAAAGGAGTCATGAATATTAAAAAGCATTGTATTCTGGAGTCATGTTTTTAGAGAGGCAAATAGTGCTACACATTCCAATGACTCTCAACTTGTGTCTCTGTATGAAGTTTAATGGAACAAAGGTGTGTTGGTTACTTTTCTCCCATTGCTGAGATAAGTTACTCAACACTCAAACTTAAGGAAGGAAAGTTTTTATTTAGCTCACAGTTTGTGGATGTTTCATTCCATACTTGGCTGGCTCCAAAGCAGGGTGCTGTGGCTGAGGGACAACAGTTTGTGGCAGTGGAAGACAGAAAAAGCAACAAGAGCCCAAAGGGCAGGAACAAGAGAGTAGAGAAAGCCTGTTTCCCTCCCATATATTATATGCAGACTACCTGCTCCAGGGTGGGTGTGGTACTCACACCCACAATCCCAGCATTGGACCATGAATCAGTCACAAACTCTAGAACCTCACATCCATGACTGCATGAGGCTTTGGGGGACAACTAGACACATACCATAACAGAAGTTTTAAGAATTCTGGTATTCCATTTTAGAATGAAAGATATAGTTATGAAAGTACAATGATTCAAACATAGTGTCCATAGTTTTAATAATTGTGTTAATAAAAGAAGAAACAATCTCAGAGAGTTTAAGTCGTACTATGCTGATAAATTTTCAACTACTGGGTATATGTAAAAGAAAGGATATGTGTGTGTTTATTGTCAAGTTTACTGACATAAAGTGGGTAAGATACATTTTATAAATAATAATAAAATAATGTCATGGTTTTTACTATAAATTCCAAATAAGTGACTGGTTTTCACAATATGCTTTTGAAATTTTTGCCAAACTCATATATTAATAAACAACCTGTGGTTGCAACCAGATAAACATGTGTAGTTCTCACATTACTATTGATTGGTATTTTTGCTTAACTTACCAAGCAAAATAAAAGGAAAATATGACAATCATATGAGAGCTTCAGTATTTACCAGGGAGGTAAGTTAGTTCTTTATTAACTCAGTTAACAGTTTTCAAACACCAGAAGTGTAGTTCCTCATTTTTGTGTTCTATTCATGATATAACAGACACACCTATGAAATGCTTTTAAGGTCATTCTGCATTATTAACATTTTCTCTATCATTTCCTTACCTCGAGACCACAAACAAAATGATTAATCAAATACTCCCTTGTAGCACTTGCCAATGTGTGCAGTGTAAATACTCCTTCCATTGCCAATATCAAGCAACTGATGTATATTGCTGAAGGCAGAGTTGGGAAAGATATGTAGTAACAAACCATTTTCACAGTACATACTTCTCCAGACAAAGGAAATGTAAATAACCTCCAGGACATATGCAAGAGCAAAATATAGTCAAACACACAGTGATTCTGATTATTTATTAACTTAGTTTTTAATTCAAATTATTTGTGTATAAGCTTATATAGTTCAATTTTAGTAATGATTGCGCCTAAGAATCAGTTCACAAAATTGTTAAACACTTAATAATTGGAGTCTATGAGCCAGAACAACCTGGTTTCAACACATTGATAAGTAACTTGTCTAAATTCACAGTTAGTAACAGTGCCAAGTTTTGTACCAGATTTATTTGCCCAAGTTCTTCCACTTGATCAGGAAACTATTAGTAATAACGGCTCAAGTTGATAAAGAGTCAATGGGTATCCATGGTATTCAACATGTGAAGACTAAGAAATGCAAAATATAATTTATATATTTCAAAAAGCAGTGAATTTGGTACAACTAAAACAAGTTTGATGATTTTAAGAAGTATATATCACTTAGGAAAATACATTTATGTTGAGTAGTTTATTCTCCTTGTGTATCAGCTGGACAAAATATGTCTAAGAAACAAAGCTTTGAATAGAAAATTAACAAGTATAATTCAAATTTTGACAAGAACATGTTTGTGCCAGTACTCACTAGTACCTTACCATAAATCTTGCTGAATGAATAATAGTAATAACTCATTTGTTAAGAATTTTCTCTAGGGGCTGGGGATTTAGCTCAGCGGCATAAGTGCCTGCCTTGCAAGCAGGCAGTCGTGAGTTCAATCCTTGGTACCGATAAAAAAAAGGAAAAAGGAAAAAAAAAAAAAAAAGAATTTTCTCTAACTGCAAGTATACCCACACTCTAAGAGTATGATTGTCCCTTATGATGAATGGGATTACCATTTCCAGATGGGCTGTATACTCTGAGCAATACTCAAAGCAACTATAATTCTTGGATAAATAAAATATATTTATAAATATATCATTAATAGGGCAGAAAGTTAGATGATCCCAAAAAAGTGAAAAAACATAATTCAGGGGAATGGGTAAAGCAGGAATTGGTACTGAGAATGTGGTATAGGAGCTCAAATACATGCAGGTATTAATTATAGGTCAATACTATTATAGCGGCCAGGAGAGGAAAAACAGCAGTGTGCTGTTGAAATGGTCATAGATTACATATGAAGTGACACATTATCACTTAATGGTGACAGGAGATATATAGATATAAATAAATATAGATATAGATATACTTAATTCCTGAAGTAAACATTAAAAATTACACAAAAGGAAATAATGTGTAATGAAATCATAAAGCATAATCTGAAAAAGTCAGAAAAGAGGGAGAAGAGAATAAAAGAGTAAAGAAACAAATAAAGAGATGTTATATTTAAACGTGTCAATAATGTCACAAAACATAAATAAGTAAAGAAATGAACTGAAGCAATTATTGACTGAATAACCAACTGTATATTACTATAAGAAATTCACTTGAAATAGATGCAAGAAGCTTAAAAGTAACAACATAAAACTATATAAACAATAAATAATAAGATATTGATATAAATACAGATATAGATATATACATAGATATAGATCATAGTACCAACAATTAGAAAGCAGGGCTATTTATATTAACATCAACATAGGCTTCAGAGCAAGAATATCACAAAGGATGAAGAAAATCATTTCATAATATTAAAGGGGTCAATCTATCAAGAGTACATAACCATGCTGGATTTTGTTCATCTAATAACAGATTCAAAATATATGAGTCAAAAACTGGTAGAACTGAAAAAATCAGGGAATATTTAGATTTAAATAAGTTAACACTAGATAAACTATAGAAAAATCGACAAAATATTTGAACAGTTCTTCACAGAACACAAACATGTTTTTAATAAACGTTTCTTAAAATAAGAGAACATTAAAAGTCTGGAGTATGCAAATGAAAAACAATGAGTTGACTTCTCTACCCACATGGTTGGCATAAATTTAAAAGTTGGGCAATGCCAAGCATTATAGAGATTGTTGCCCAGCAGGAATGCATATACATTACTGGTGGGAGAGCAATACAGAAACAACTAGCAAAAATGGAGAAATACGCAGTCCGCAATTATTCACATATCACCATAGACTACAGAGTGGATCAGAAGGCATAGAGAGCCATGACTGCAGTAGTAAAAAATACATAACTGAATAAATAAAAGGATCAAGAAGAAGAAAAGCACTGTAAACAATCCAAATTTTCTTTGTTCAGAAAATAAATAAATAACATTCACAGAAAAAAGACTACAGAAGAGTAAAAGTGAATGAGCTACCTCTTTTCAGATCATTCCACCTAAATCTGACACTGAG